TCTTTATTTGTTTCTTATGTGAACATCAATAGAAGATTATGTAAAAATAAACTAATAATACTATAAACAAGACAAAACTCCAAAATCATGCAATATTAAGACATCCTCGTAATGACAATGAATTTCGCAAGCGGAAAAACATTAATATAAAAACAGAAGCGAGAAAGTAATAATAAACGTATTTCGATGAATGCGCTAAATGTATTTTTTACGTGTGCGAATTTAAAGAAAAAAAATATATATATATATAGAAATAAACCAGCCAAAAGACAAAGCAAATTAGTTGGCTCAGTAAACACCAAATTATATGTAAGACTCAAAGTAAGAGAAATGGGTTATAGTATATAATGCTTAATCATCATAATGTCAAAATCGTTTAAATGCCAGACTTACATTTTCATTTACAATGGAAGAATACACGTTCCCCAATTAACATAGTTATAAAACATTCTTCTCAGTTTTCAGCTCACATGCCATTTGTCTTCATCATCGGCTCACTAGCATCCTTATGAATAATACGAATACCTTTCACATCCGATTCAACGGTCGAACCCGGCATAGTGATCCTATCATCGCGACGCGCCGAGTATAGAGGAACACACCTCGAGCTTTCAGTCCTCGGCCTTACCTTCCTTTATGAAGCGCTGTAGACGTGCAAAAACGCGAGAAACTAGATTCACATTGGGTATCGAGGGCACCCTCGTATTGATTTCAAATTCCCAAGATTTGGGATCTTGATTGAGCGAGCGCTTCTGTGATGGTAGTCGCTGTTGGGGCAAAAAGTAATGGGAATAAAAAGGCCGAGATTATGAAAGGAAATGTGCGCGATGGAAAGGACGTGACGTGACGGCGAAGGAGCTGTGAAAAGTTGCGTTCGTGACAAAACGTAGATGGCGCCGTTGAGGAAAGGGATTCGTTGTCGGTAGCCAGGGCTCGGGATCATTGGACACGTTTTGCGCGGCAGCAGCTGACTACCAAAATCCCCGTGACACACATCCTGACGTGCGCAAGATAGATCTGTACGCGGGCAGGAAGAAAAGTCGAGGGGACTCTGCATGGGCTTTATGTTATTAGGCGGAGGCCTTATACCGGCCATCTCTTGTCCCGTAAGTGGTGCGCTCATTGTCGTCTCGAGTTTTCGACGACACGCGGATGATGAATTCGACCGGGCGTACCGGTAAAATGCCGTTCGCCAAACGGCTCAAGTCACAAATTGGAAGCTCGTGTACGTGCGGAGGATCACGGGGTCGGAGGCGGCCGAACGCAGGCACGCGTGCCGAGATAAGGAAATTTCCGTGGAAATTGCATCCACTCGGGGTTTCATCACCTCTCCCTCGCTACGTTATACTTTCAATGTAAATTTTCTAATCTTCGAATAGGCTAACGCGTTGCCAAAATTTGATATCGATAAGGACATACAACCATGGGATGTTGTTGGGCAGTTTCGACACGTTAAAATAATATCTAAGAAAGATGAGTTAAAAATCGACAATTTTACGTCATAGCATTATGTGAAAAAGATAAGATTTAAAATTATGCTACTCGTTTTATTGCTTTATGCCATTGTTTTATTCAACGGCCATCCTGCGAATAAATATATTCACAATGGAATCATCGACTATTTTTCATAACGATTTATTACAAAATTATGGTCAGGTAGATATATATATCACGATGGTTGAAATAATATTACGCTCACTCTTCCATACCATTACAAACATGAATCTAAACAGTTAATCTGTCAATTAAATATAAAATTAAAGATATATTATTAAGGAAAAACTTTTTTTTTCCTATGAATAAATTACTGTATGCAATCTCCAACGTTGTAATATCTTAGTAGAATATTATATTATAAAAACAATAGAATTACGATTAAAATAAAAAATTTTTTATATTTTCTATTTACAATTTATGTAACAACTTAGTGAACTATTTTTTCATTCTAATAGAACTATAATGTATATATAACCTATGCATTTTACAAAAATGTTAGTTTTCAAAATATAAATTATATTTCAAATTTATTTTCATTACTAAATTCACCTCTATTCACGATACAGCAGTATAAAATATAGAAAATATTTTTCATTAATTTAATTATATAGTATTGTTCTCGAAGTATCAATTAATATTAGAATATTTTCAATAAATTAAAATAGATTAAAGTATAATTTAAATCTACGTCTTACCAAAAAATTATTAAAAATTTTGGTAATTTCAATTTAAAATCTTGATACGTATATAACAAGATATATATATATATATATATATATATAACAAGCAATATCATAATATTTAATTGAATATTCATGCTCAAAATAAATATAATAATCATTATATAAATTGTATATGAAAATTATTAAACTTTATAGTACTACATTACTATTTAATCAGTTGTTGTATGACAAAGCGCCAGCACCTATTATTGAATATAATAAATTTGTGAGAATGTTTTGCAATAACTCGATTTTAAATATTGTAGTACGATTAATTAAAGCAAATTATTGGTTTATAAAAAAATCAGCAGTATCGAATTATAAAATGAAATCTTCTATTTCAAATAATATTATTATACAGAAGGTTATTATATTTTTGACAAGCTTAAATAAAATATATATTAAGTATACAATGAAATATTAATGTAATGCATATTATTACAAGTATTGTTTCCAATTTCTAGTTTTCAAATAAATTTTTTTTAGTATTCCAAACTTATATTAAAATGTTAGTATTGTACTCTAAATTAATCCGAAATTAATAATTAAAATCACATTTTTTTAAAAAAGCGTATATTATAAAGTCTACTCTTATAATTTTCGGTCCGTCCGACGGGTTTCCGACCAACTTCGTATCAAACTCAATGATATATTGTTTTTGTGCAACAGAAAACTATTTTCTATCAAATCTAACAGCAATAACAAGAATATAAAATAACCTTATATCAATTTAACAGTGCCCTTTTTAAAAAATTCAATGATTTACTAACACGCTTTAGATTTCACGAGTGCAGTTAAATATAAGCCGAAACAGAATTTAGACTTTAAGAAGTATATGTATAAAATATTTTATGAAATATTAATTTTCGATAATCGAGACTAGATTCCTATAGAATAAAAGGATATAAATTATAATTTTTATTAATTTTAATAAATAATTAAACATTTTATTATTTTTTACCTTTAAACTAATGCTTTAAACAGCTAATAACATAATTTATGTACAGCTATAACAATAATGGGAAATGTATAGAGAAATATTCCATATAAATTATAAATATATAATTTAAATAATTTACATGAACATTAATGATTTTTATGTGTTATATTTCTGGAATTTAAAAATAAATTACTAAGAAATAAATTCTTATCTTCATAAATTCAGTATAAATAATAATAGAAACAGCTCCAAAAGTTTTAGTTAGCACTAATAGGAATAGTTTCTTTAATAAACTTATGCATTTAAATTAATTGTGATCGATAAATTATTGTTGACTTAAGCATTACTTATTTCTAAAATCATTACAATTTTTCAAACAATTTATTATTGCAAATAAATAGATTTAGATATCGTTATTTATCTTCTCAAAATGCTTGGTAATATGCTTGGCAATTTGATTTCTACTTAAATGTTATATTTTAATATGAAAAATTTTAAATTATTATAAACACTTCAAGTAGTCAGCAATAATACTTTAGAAAATGAAATAAGCCAATTAATATAACAAACCAGTCAATAAGATTACAATTAAGTATATTCCAAAGATATTGATACTCTACTTAAACAAAATACAATCTATGTATTAATCGGAATAATCATAACAAATTGAGTGCTTAATACTTTTGATACACACAACGAGATTCGATCTTTGTTTTTAGAACTGATTGAATTCAGTAAAACGATATAACGTTCTTTAATTAAATGAACATTTGAGTTACAAAGGCTATGAAAATAAGAAGCTTGTACGAGTACAGTAAAATTGAAGCCGCATAAGTACTTAACTAATTCGACAAAGTACCCATTACTATAGAAACAAATTGACTCGGTAAACATCAGTCTAAGATTTCTATAAGATCTTGCACAGATCAGCTGATGAACTCGTCATACGTCGCTTTTAATTAAAAGTCTCGACAGGTGAGCGCCTGACTCGCGCAAGCCGTCGCTCTGGAACATCATCGTTGTGAAAGGATTGGCAAAGAGAAATCCCGAACACATTCCCTCTTTCTCTCGAGGGGCGGTAGCATACATTCGCACTCCCCTAAATAGCCCTCACATATTCTCTCTTTATCTCTCCTCCTCTCCCCTCTCGTGTGCTACCCTCATATTCATCCGCCCTCGCTCGCTCGCGCTCTCTCTCTCTCTCTCTCTCTCTCTCTCTCTCTCTCTTTCTTCCGCTATCGCACGCGCACGCCTTCGCTCTTCCCCTATCCCCCTCTTTATTCATCTCTCTCGGGGTGGTTGAAAAGTTGGTTTCGATATTACTCTACGAGAATATACGCTTCTACGCGAGATACGTGTCAACTGCAGCGAGCCAGATAAAAGGAAAAGGAAAATATAAAATTTGCCAGAGATGATCCATCATGCTGACGCGAGCAACGGTGCCCAGAAGCTTACGGGATTGGCCGTGCCCGCCTCTTTGAGTGGCCGTCACGTGACCCACGTCCAGGTCCCGCCCCATGCCAGGGGACAGCCTACTCCTAGCGATGCGCAATCGACTGTTGCGCCGGCGGTGCGCCCGTGGCCGCTGCGACTGAAGCCAGGCAGGAAGAGAGAACGAAGCAGAGATAGATAGATATATAGATTCAGAGAGAGAGAGAGAGAGAGAGAGAGAGAGAGAGAGAGAGAGAGAGAGAGAGAGAGGGAGAGAGAGAGGGGGAGAGAGAGAGAGTGGGAGCATGAACGTGAAGGGGGGATAAAGTTAGAGAGAGGTAGAGGGAGGGTCGCGCTCGGCCTCGCTCACCTGCCTCACCTGCGCCTTCAGCGGCAACAGTCCGTTTTCGACGGCCAGCGAGAGCAGGCCATGTCGAGAGGGATTTGCCATTGATAATTCAAGGATTCATCGACTGCGATATGAAGCTGATCGACCGGAGCCCGAGACGAGTGTTGATCAATTGACGAGACATTCGTCGAGTCAACGTTCATTGCGAGTTAATAAAGAGTGATTGTCGCGAGAGAGGAGAAAAGGATACACGGGGCAAACAAAGTTCCACAGTGTGAGACGACATTACGTACGCGAATCAAGTTTCGTTAAATGGAGCATCTGCACCAGGATGTAATGATCCACAGGTGCTCCTCAGATATATGAGCGGCAGTCCGAGTGCGCGTTGTGCAACTGATTGAAAGGAGGTAAAGAAAGTAAAGAACTCGGCAGGACTAGACTTGCGCGCCGAAGTTAATGCTACTCCGGCGCGAGGATGATGATGATGGACATGGGTATGTACGGTACTTACGGCAAGCCTGACTCATATCCGAACTACGGCTTCGCCAGCGGTCATCACCAGGCTTCCGTGGGCCATCATCATCACCACCACCAAGCGGCAAGCATCGGACATGTCTCCGTGCCCTCGTCGCCGGAGCTCGCGGCGACCGCAGCCCACTACTATCCCCAAACTGCGGCTATCACACCCTACAGCGCCTCAAGCACGGAGAACTTCCTCGCAGCCGCTGTGGACTCGAACGCCGCCACCAGCAGCAGTACACCACCCCAGAGCTTCTACTCTACGAGCGGCGCCCCCATTCTACATGAGGATGGTACTGCTATCATCTCTTCCGAGAACGGCCTGAGCTATACGAATCTCGACTACGCGAGCGTCTCCTCGTCCTCCTCGTCGTTTGCGTCACATGGCAGTTGCGCCGCTGATCATCACCAGAGCTACCAGCAGCAGCAACAACAGCAACAGCAGCAACAACAGCCGCAGCAGCAGCAGCAGCAGCAGCAACACGTACAGCCAGTTTATAGAACGGAGGAACACCGACACCATCATCCGGCGAGTTTGCACCATCAGATTGGAACGCTCCATAGGCAGGACCATCCGAAACTGCAGCCACCGCCGCCACCACCACCACTACCACCGTCGCAGCAGCAGCAGCAGCAGCAGCAGCACCATCAGTCTAGTCACGAGTCGACCGATTATCAAATTAGTTCAAGCTACTTGCACCAGCTGCCTCCCAACGATGACACGCTGCAACAGCAGCAGCAGCAGCAGCAACAACAACAACAACAACAGCACTACTCCCAAAATCCTGCCAATGTTAGGCAGGATGCATATCCAAGTCATCAACACTTCAAGGAAGAGGCGCCCGATAACGTTGTCTACCACAATATGCAGTCATCACCCGTACACGGAGTGCACCCCCACGTTCATCCGCAGCACCATCATCACCACCACCATCATCATCACCAGCAACAGCAACAGCAACAGCAACAGCAACAGCAACAGCAACAACAGCAGCAGCAGCATCAGCAGCAACAACAGCAACAGCAGCACCATCATCATCAACATCATCACCAACATCATCATCATCAGACACAACAACAGCAACAGCAGCAGCAACAGCAGCACCATCAGCAACATCAGCAGCCGACCCAAGTGCCCACCTACAAGTGGATGCAGGTCAAGAGGAACGTGCCGAAACCAGCCGGTGAGTTATTAGGATTTAGCAGGCGTGAAATTGACTGTTTTGTCTGAGTGCGCGCGACGGATTGGAATGGCTGAGAACTCATTATAAACGAAAAGGTATTTTGCTCATCGGCGCCAAGCGCTCACTTCGCTGAGTAAGAAATTGAGAGAACCTGCAGCATCATTCAATCAGAGCGCGTTGATGACCTCCCGTAAGAGATCGCGAGACGGTAGGAGGAGCAGCACCCATAGCGAATCGTTGGGAATATTACGTAAAGCCGAAAGGATTTGCACAATTTACTCCGGGCGCATTAATAAAGGGAAAGCCAATGGAATTTGTCGAGGATACGCAGAGGCTTTCGCGTTGGCCCGAAATATGCTTACAATTATTCGCCAATTGTTCCACCGACACTTTGGCGATTTAACCAATTTCGGAAGAATGATGTATTGATTTGACCAGTTTATATTGCCATTGTGTAAATGAATGTGCTGAGTTACGCAGCAAACATCTGTGATTTATGCATTGAGATTGTAAATAAGAGAATGAAAATGATTTGCACTTTACTAATTTTATGCTGGCTTTATTTTGAGAAATTTCTATTTACTTATATGTTTGTTTTCTCTCTTACTTTATCGCCTATTCCCATATAAATATTGTTAATTTACGATATCTAATGATTTCAATCGGCTGAGGCTGACACAATTTTATAGCAGAATATATTGATTTAATAGCACCAATGTTTATCATTAACGTACTTTTTTTCTAAATACAAACCTACTTGTTTACCATTTTATTATTGTTTATATATATTTTTATTTCTGTTTTGTTTTTGCTTTTTTTTGTTGTTGTTGTTTTTTTTTTTTTTTTTTTTTTTGTTCTTTTATTAATACCGTTGAAGAGCAAACAGTTTTTATAATGATTTATTCAGTAATAACACGGTCAAGGTAATTAGGCTTTCATAGATTATACAATTTATAATTATCATGAGATGACTCTATTAACATCAATCGTTTCGAATAACTTACTTTTCAATCGAATCTCTTTAAAATGCTCCTTGATTCACTACTATCCGTTACGATGATTAAGTACTTCTTATTAATCCATAATTATCTTATCATTGACAACCGTGTCAAAATATATTTGAATATTGCAAATAATATATTGTTCTCTAATAATTAATATCATTGCGAATCAATCAATACAAGCCATCGTTGCTTCAAAATTCGTTTATTTTACCCAAGCCATTTGCCATAACTCAAGAGACTCAGTGAACGAAACTTCAAACTACCTGCAAACTCTCGACGAATTAATTTAATTGATCGAGCTGCTATTCCTTCCTCTTGGACGGGCCAAACACTCTCCGTACCGTTATAAAACAAAACAAACAAAAAATTAAAAACAAAACTATCCTCCGACTGGCTAAATTACAAAAATATTCATAACAAATTAAATGGCGGCTTAACAAGATCCTAGAATTTTTCCTTCCTCATTATCGAGTGTAATAATCATACGATAATAACTACTTGGCTAAGAGTATTGCGACAAGCGTACCAAACAAACGAACCATCGCTCATCCGGATTATTAAACTCGCCTCCAAACTTCCGAAGCCAACGATGCGCGTTAGCTATATCTCCTGGTTCTCAACCATCACCGCGAGCTGGCCACAATATCAACGACGATAAATCCGCGTCTCCATCCTCGCGAGCACTTTCACCGGAACTCAGCTTCCCAGCCACTCCGCAAGCAGAAGCGGTCGCAGCTGCCCCTTGATAAAGATTACGAGGGCAGAGTCTACGCAACAGATAAGTCGCGGCCGCGGTTATCGTGAAAGGGGCAAATGCGGTACTTGGGAGCGCCGCGAGAGCCCATAAATCAATCGTGACAACCGCTTGGCAACTCCTGATCTGTCAGTGGCGAACGCTACGATCGCCGGGAGAGTAAAAAAAAGCGCGCGCACTTAACCCCTTCGATTTATCGGAATGGGAATCGCGACTGCGCACTCGACGGCATGACACCTTCGGTGGCCTCTCCTCTTTCGAGATGTACACAAGGACAGCGAGGATACGTACGTGCCATGGATGGCGATTGAGAGATCGGTGACGCGACAGCGACCTATCCATTCGGCCCTTCGTGGTTTGTGCGCGCGTGGCTCTTTTAAAAAAATTTCCTTGCGCTCGTTCTTAATCATTGTCTGCTCGATTATCCCGTTTCACTCGCAAGCGAGTGTGCGCGCGTGCACACATTTCATTGGTGATTATATTTGTGCCGAAGGCGATCATTTACATAAGGATTTGTTTTTGCCACGCTCGTCCGTATGAGTGTCGGGCATAAAAAGAGGTGAATCCGAATAATCAAATTGTCATTGAAATTCTCTTTAAACATTGAAGTAATTATATGAAGGATAGTAATTATTGAAGTAAAAATTAAAAAAAAATCAAACATAACACGGTCTATTCTATTTGAAAGTTAAAATTGTAATAAGACCAGCTTTACGATTACTACGAATACTTAATATATTAAGTAAATCATTAATTCGAAAAAAATTCGGTATACTTGTAAAATAGAGTTTTAATTCTCAGATGATATATTCGCAAAGGCAACATTGACGACGACTTAATTTACAAAATATTTATATATATATATATATATATATATATAGTTTTTTCTGGAACTTATCGAAAAGATAACATTTTTTCATTTTCATAATTCGATATCTATACAAATTAATAAATATTATTACAATATTAATATGAAATCCAACGATATATATATATATATATATATATATATATTTTTTTTAAATATTCCATTTTCATGATAATGTCCATCTATATTGATTATACTTTTACCCTAGGCTATTTAAGGCTATGATATATATTAATGAACATCGGAATAAATAGTTGAAGTAAATAATTTGTAGAGTTTACGAAATAAGATTTTATAAAAATAGAATAATTATAAACGATGTCCAAACACGAGGTGTATGTAGATATAATTGAACAATCGATAAATGATATGTGACAAAGTAGAGAAATTTTTTTAATTAGTGATTGAGCGAAATTCCTTAGACAAGTTACATTATTATATATAACAAATGAATAAATAAATGCATATGTATATATATATATATATATATATATATATATATATATCAGCGATGATTAGTTAACTATAATCGTATCGTCCCGAAATATGTATTTGATGAAGAGTTACGAGTGAAGTACTTATCTGAACATTTGACTAAAAGTACCATGCGTCCGATAATGACAAATTAAGATAATGAGAAACGCTTTTACGCATATAATATTTATACAACATAAGCTCTATCGAACTTAACGTGTAATAAAGAAAAAAAATTCTTTTAAATCTCGATAGTAGAATAACAATAATATACTTGTTAAAAGGATTTTACTTCATTCTTGTTATTTTCTAATTGTAAATAATACATATCGGAATCTTTTTCTGAAAGAATCAGAGAATTTAAGAATTACTTTCTATTTGATATTATATTAATTATCGAACTATTCCATTACGAATATTCAACTCGCTATTTTTATAAAAAAAATTTATTACAAAAATGATATTAAAAAATCAGCATGTCCATATGCAAAACATTGTATATTAATTTAATAATTTCAACATAATTTTCAAGAACAATATATTGCCACGAATAATAATTATTATTGTTATTTATTATAATGATAATAAAGTTAGTAATTAGAAGAAAAAAAAATACAAATTTATGTATTTTTTTTTAACTTATTAAATGACATTATTGATAAATTATTAAAAAAAATTATCAAAATAATTCTGTTCCTATACTTTCAAGTATTAAAACATTCCATTGAATCACGGTTTAAATCTAAATAAAAAGTTTCTTTATTTAACTTTTTATACAATAAATATTTCTTGTATTATAGACATATTAATAATTATAATGCATTGCAAGTAACTTTTAATTAAATTATAAAGGTGTTGATAAACGTATAATTTATGGATCAAAAAATATATATAAATATTAGAAAAAAATTCTAGATATGAAATAATACACTTTGATTTGTTAGATCTTACAAATTTTAATTAATATGTCAAACTTGTACACACTAAAGCAATAAAATTAATATTTTTGATTGGATATAACGATGGGTAATATATATAATAATATGAGATTTTATAAATACGAATGTTGGAAATTGAATAATAAAAATTATGATAATAATTGGCACTATTCATTGTGAAGTACTACTCAAATAATTCTTTAACAAATATAATTAATAATTATTAACTGCTCATGCAATTACACGAGTATTCTTTAATCCATTTTATATATGACGAAATAATAATAAGTTTTCTTTGTATTCAGCTAATTGTTTGCCATTTTTTAACCACTTTAGAACAAATATGCACAATTATAAATGATTAAATATACCATGAAAAATTATAATGCAGTAAATAAATGTGAATTAAGATTTAATCATATTAATTGAGTTAATAATGTTAAGTGAGTACGTGCTCGTGTGTAAATGTATTTTCAAGCAATATAAATAAATTATAAAAACAAAGAACGTTGAAGAGAATATTGAAATAAAATATTGAAAATAAAAAGTTCCGTTACGTATTGTATATACAAGGACAGAGTAAAAATTTTCTGGTGAAAATATAATATATACATTCATATACTCTTTCTCTCTCAGTCTCTCAGTCTCTCAGTCTCTCTCTCTCTCTCTCTCTCTCTCTCTCTATCGAATAAACAAATGTATAATAAGTACATAAGCGATAGAAAAAAAAAGCTCGTATAGTTTTTTTTATTTAAATATACCCAAGAAAGTTCACGTGCAAATTTTCTTCATTTAGTTTTAAAGCACCGAGGCAACTGTCAATGACCTCAGGCAATATAGTCAAGCAGAGTATAATCAGTTCCGCGTGGCCGCAGTTTGCCAGACTAACGTCGAGGAGTCGCGCTTCTCGAGCTTAAAAGCTCATTAAAA